TATGTATATATATATATACACAGATATCAACAATAAGCTAGTCTAATCGGCCCCTGTCCCCCTGGTCCAGATCCTGAGAAACGGCCATTCCAGGAACCTAAATTGGAGGTACCTACCATATATAAGGCCTATGTAAGGCCTATCTAAGGGAAAATAACCCTTTTTGAGTGATTTCACTAATCACTAATCTTTCAACCCCTATTTGCCAGGGTCGAACTGTCAATTTACCAGGTATATGAAACCTGGGGATTTATATTGAATAACGTCCGCGTCGCAGGTGCCTCGGCACTTTCTCGTGAGCGGCTTGATGGAACGCCATGAATTGGAAGCCGCCTTTCGACGCCTGGACATCTTTGCGACACCGCAGGTTCCTCGCGGGGGATGCAATAAGTGGCTGTAGTCCAATATTATGAATATATGAGTGGGATTATGAAGGTATATTAACGGTATATTAATATATTTATACATACACAGTATCACTATATGAAGAAATATATATATATGTATATATATATGAAGAAATATATATATATATATGTATGAAGAAAAAATATATATATATATTGGCTCAATTTGATGGTAATTTGCCATTGAATCATTGAATCATTGAAGTGGTCCTGACCAAGTTCGCTAATGATGAACTCATCAGCAATCCTGGGGAGGTCTCCGAGTCTCCTGTTATTCATTTTGGGATGGGGGTAAACAATGATAAACAAAAAGTGATAAAATGAGGTCTATTTTTTGGTCCAATTGTTGATGTTCCATCCAATATATATGTATATATGTATACATATTATTACATATTATATTCAATGAATATGATATATAATACATATATATATATGCCAATGCACAGGACATCGATCGCTTTGTCTCTTCACCTTTGGCGCTTAAAGAGTTGAAACAAAGGTTCCGACAGGCTGCCAGCGGCGGGTGGTAGTTGCTATATGTTGCTATGACCCGGGCCAATCACTGGGTTACTTCGGGGGAATATTTAACTGCAAAGCATTGCGTCTTTTGTAGTAACCCAGTGATTGGGGGATTCTGTTTGGGGGATTCCCTCGAAGTAACCCAGTGATCAAGATAATTCCCCATATCACTGGTGTGTGTTATCGACAAAATCTTATTTGGGGGATTCTGTATATGCACGGGAAACTATGCAAAACTTTGGGAAAATTGTGTTTGATTCCATAGTTCCTCCTTGCCCTCATTCTGGGAAGCAAGCAACATCACATGCTTCATCACATCATGGAGGATGCTGGTGGCACTTCCGGTTCACTCGTCATTGAGCTCAGCCTCCATTCTTATGCACAAATATCAGTATAGAAGATGTATTCGTAATGTACTATATACACACAGCATTACGATGGTGACTCATTTGTACACAATATAGTGCGTACCTAGACCCTCCAAGTACCTAGACCTTGAACAATGAGGCGATAATATATCCCTTATTTTGGTGACTTTTATCAAGTGCATGGGTACTTCGAGGGTCTAAGCACATCTCGTGAATCTTTGCATCATGAAGCAATACAGACCTGCGAAAATCTCCAGCCTCTGTCCTCGCAGGCCATCCAAACTCGCCGGCAGCGGCTCTACCGCCCGGCCAATGCCGGCCCGGGAGGCAGAGTTGTGCCGCCGCGGAGCCTATCCCCAGCCAAAGTGGTGCGGGATGTGAAGACATCACCACCCTGGCCATTTGTGCCGAGAATCAGATCATGAAATCATATGAAATCATGATATACTCCCCAAAATCGCCACTTGTTTATGGGGAAAATTATCATTGACCAATGGATCTAGGGGCAAATAGCCTATTTTCAGACAAACCATGAAATCCTTTGGAAGCTGGTGATGCTCATAGTATACCAAGCCAAGTATAAGTATAGGCTGTAGTTACACTGGAAACTCAGACCCTATACTATCCGGGTTCGAACCCGGTATGTTCATATTTTTTGTGAATCTTGGCAAGCTCAAGCACGCTCATACAGTTGATTCATTCATGTTGTTTGTTCAAGACTGACTGAGAATATTGCGGCCGATCCATTCCTTGACCCCTCCCTACCAATCCCATTCTCTCCCTGCGCGCTGAAACCTTTTCAATGGGACGGGCTGCCGTTGCAGCGACTTCCAATTGGCGCAGGAGAGTTAAAAAGAGCAGTGGCTCATGGTGTAGACCTTTCAAGTACTCATAATTTCATGGCCGTCCCCAACAATCGTGGGGGTATGATAGGTATATGACTGACCCCATGTTTCAGGTACTTGGAGGGTCCAGGTATATGTTCTGGTTGGTGGTTTGGAACATTTGGATTATTTTTCCATTCAGTTGGGAATGGAAAATCATCCCAAGTGACGAACGCGTATTTTTCAGAGGGTTGAAACCACCAACCAGATTATCAACCATTATTAACCATATATTTACTATATATTAACAATATATTAATGGACCCTTCATGGATTTCTCCAATACACCGATGGCTTCAGGATGATCTCTACAAAATGAACTGGGGAAATCATTGAATTCATCTACAAATTGGAACATGTTCCATATAGAATTTGTTTATAGTAATCCTTGTGATTTCATATATTATATATGGTAATAGGATAGAAAATTCAGCGAATCCTTTTGTGATACCTTTTCAGCAATGTTTGTTGCCCCCGTGTGATACGTATCTTTGAAATAATTAATATAGGTCCTGAATCGTTTTAATCCTAGTGGGCTTGAACATGGACCAATGGAGCCAGACCTCGTCTTATCCGAGGCCTATGCTGGCATCTTTTTTGCGCGGTGGGTGTAACACACACATTGGATGACTTGGAGAACAGGAGTGTGTACATATATATATATATACATGTAATGAATAAATACATCAGATACACACATAACACACACATATATATATATCTGATGTCTGCATTCATGTGCAACACTGTATGCTATATTTCAACTATGTTCGTGGTTTTGACATGACCCTGAACTGTTTGGCTGTTTGGTGTTTTTCAAATCATGTTACTTTCCATGTTTCCTTCAGATGAAAAGCCCGCCTTACCAAAGAAACATTTGATGGGATGTAATTATTAGTCCCTGAATTGAACAGTTAGGTCCATTGATCAATACTTAAGCAGCTGAGCATGGTAATTACAGTTGTTAACGTTTCTGATACATCATGTTGAGTTCCCAGAGGTTACTCTCCGTTAAGATATGGCACTTGGAAGACCGCCAGCTTGGGTGACATCTTTTTGAATCTTCCTTTGCCATTTCCGCGCCGTCCGCGATAGCCGTTCCTATTTTGAAGCAACGCCCGAAAACCCCCCGGCGCTGAGATCAGGACGGGCTTGACTTCAGCCTCATGGCCATCAGAAAAGGTCGTGTTTTTGTATAATTTGCTTGAATTCTTTGCAAGATTTGACCTATACTTTTAGCGTTATTTATCGTATACACTAACAGAATGTGCATGATTGTGATTGGACATGATTGTATACATGTACCCTCTTTGTTTGTTAAATTTTAATCCTCGGATTCGTGAAGAAATTGTTCTTCGGCCTTTTTCTTGCCAGGAAATGAGTTTAGCTATTGGCCGCTGGCGAAAGAGGCGGTGGAGGGGAACGAAGACAGAAATGCCTTGGATGTGTAAACTACCTGGCCAGATTGATACGAATGGATTAATCAAAAGATTGTAGATATTGTAGTGTTGCTGGATCTTGTATAGATCTCCAATCTTTTTGATGTACCATTGCTGTTTGGATTGTCATTTCCCCGGGAAGGTCCAACATGTTCCAACCAGAAAATTGATGTACATTTCACACAGGGACGACCGTCCTGCGCCCATTGGCGCCAAAAGCGAACGCAAGGCCGGCCTGAAAACAGGGTTTTCGAAAGATGTGGGGTGCTAAGTGCTAAATTGGGATTTGTATGTTATTATTTGGAACATGATGGTTGTTTACGCCTTGTTTACCCAGCAAAACTGGTGGGATCGAGGTGATATAACGGGGATTTCAATGACATTTAATGGGGATTTGGCGTGATATGGATACATTATAACGACCTCACGTCACAACATCACTGGAACGATCGTGAATGGGTTGGGATAACTATCCTGAAAAGGACTTCTTTTAGGTTTGTCGATTGTATATTGTTTTTATCCATGTTTATGTTGTATAGATTTACATATGGGTCAATACCTGCAACTGCCATTCTTGAGGCCATGAACATCCATATGGAGGTTTCCTGAAATGGGGGTACCCCAGTTCTCATCCATTTTAGTCGGAGTTTCCCCTATAAACCAACCATTTTGGGTTACCTCCAATTTAGGAAGACCCCATCTGGATCCCAACTATTTAGTGCTCACTTTTGGGGTACTGGGTACTGCCAACTTAACTAGCCTTGATTCACCTTTGAGGGTCCAGCCTTCAAGACCGGAGGTGAAAAATGGTGTTATCAGCGGCTTTTAAGAGGCTGCCCCTTATTCATCAAAGAATTCAAGGCCGATATTTGGTTCCTAAAATAAGATCTTGGCAGTATTTGGGCCTTAAAGAGATGGGACCCATTTGAACCTAAAAAAACTCTTACAGGAGGAGATGGAACTTGGTGAAGAAGGAGAGTAAACATGAATACAAGCAGCAGTAAACAGTATAATGTTGATAAAGCAATGGTGTAAACACCATCCTCAATTGTTACCATCAATGGTATTAGCCTATTAGCCATGAAATTTTACATGGCTGGTTCATGGCATCCCACGCACCTGGTTGGTGAAATGCATCACCCACATTTCTTTTTTTTTTTCAGCCATCAATTGCTGTTGGATTAACCAGGCTAATTCCTAAGCTTATCCGCTTATCCCGACATCACGATATTTGCTACACAACCACCATTGGAACTGGAACATGGAACTGACCAAGGTGTGTTGAAGCTAATGTGTAACTGGTAAGTTGAGCAGTGTTCAAAACCCAAGCGTTGCTTGACGGTGATTAACCAAGTGGGGTTATACTATACCAAGTTGGGGATCCCATTCTTAACCAACCAGTCTTTCATGGAATGACAATTCGAGTTGTGATCATGGCTCAGTGTTTGTCGAAATTGTGGTGCTCAAAATTGTGGCGCTCATGTTTTTTTTTTTTTGTGAAGTATACCAACACAATTGAACTGTCCATGAGAATCCAGCTATAATATATATATACACGTACACATACATACATATTATATAATATCAGTTCATGTATATGCATGCATGTATTATATACACATATCACGTATCATTATATTCATATCTTTACACGTTCATGCACGAATATTGTATATATGAATTATATGTGTATAGATTTGCATAGGATCTCCCCAGTTATAAAACACGAACAACCGCATCAGGCTGCTTCCTTGACCGTGAGGAACACGTTGTTGGACACCTTGCATGAGAAGATCTTGTGCCTCTGCGAGATGATGATTTTTGAATTCCCATGGGGCCTTCCACCACAGAACGCATCGATCATCGATTTTTATTTTCGTACAGAGTGCATATATTATCATAGATTTGTGTTTTCACAAATGATCATAGATTATCATAGATTATCATAGATTATCATAGATTATCATAGGTTATCATAGATTATCATTGATTATCCGAGACTATCATAGATTATCATAGATATCATAGATTTGTGTTTTCACAAATGATCATAGATTATCATAGATTATCATAGATTATCATTGATTATCCGAGACTATCATAGATTATCATAGATATCATAGATCATAGATTATCATAGATTATCATATATTATCCTAGGCTATCATTGATTATCATAGATTATCATAGATTATCATTGATTATCATAGATTATCGTAGATTATCATTGATTATGGTAGACTATCATTGATTATCATAGATTATCATAGATTGTCAGAGGTTATCATCAGCTATCATCGGTTATCATCGGTTATCATGGGTTATCATAGATTATCATAGGTTATCATAGATTATCATAGACTATCCTAGACTATCATAGATTATCATAGATTATCATAGATTATCATATATTACCCTAGACTATCCTGGACTATCATAGATTATCATTGATTATCATAGACTATCATAGGCTATCACAGATTATCCTAGTCTATCCTAGACTATCACAGATTATCATTGATTATCATAGATTATTCTAGACTATCATAGACTATCATAGATTATCATTGATTATCATAGATTATCCTAGACTATCATAGATTATCATTGATTATCATAGATTATCGTAGATTGTCAGAGGTTATCATCGGTTATCATCGGTTATCATGGGTTATCATAGATCACCATAGGTTATCATAGATTATCATAGATTATCCTAGACTATCATAGATTATCATAGATTATCATAGATTATCCTAGACTATCCTAGACTATCATAGATTATATTAGACTATCATAGATTATCATAGATTATCATAGATTATCCTAGACTGTCAAAGATTATCATAGACTATCCTAGGCTATCATAGATTACCATAGATTATCATAGATTATCATAGATTATCATAGACTATCCTAGACTATCATAGATTATCATAGATTATCATAGACTATCCTAGGCTATCATAGATTATCACAGATTATCATTGATTGTCATAGATTACCATTGATTATCCTAGACTATCATAGATTACACTAGACTTTCCCAGACTATCATAAATTATCATGGATTATCATAGACTATCCTAAACTATCATAGATTATCATAGATTATCATAGATTATCATAGATCACCCTAGACTACCATAGATTATCATAGACTATCCTAGACTATCATAGATTATCATAGATCATAGATTATCATAGGTTCTCATAGATTAGCATTGATTACCATAGATTGTCATAGATTATCATAGATTATCATAGACTATCCTAGACTATCATAGATTATCATAGATTAGCATAGATTATCATATACTATCCTAGACTATCATAGATTATCATAGATTATCATAGATTATCCTAGGCTACCATAGATTATCATAGACTATCCTAGACTATCATAGATTATCATAGATTATCATAGATTATCATTGATTATCATAAATTATCATTGATTTTCATAGATTATCATTGATTACCATAGAGCATCATAGATTATCATAGATCATAGATTATTCTAAGTTATCATAGGTTATCATTGATTACCATTGATTATCCTAGACTGTCATAGATTATCATAGATCATAGATTATCATAGGTTCTCATAGATTAGCATTGATTACCATAGATTGTCATAGATTATCATAGATTATCATAGACTATCCTAGTCTATCATAGATTATCATAGATTAGCATAGGTTATCATATACTATCCTAGACTATCATAGATGATCATAGATTATCATAGATTATCCTAGGCTACCATAGATTATCATAGACTATCCTAGACTATCATAGACTATCCTAAACTATCATAGTTTATCATTGATTATCATAAATTATCATTGATTTTCATAGATTATCATTGATTACCATAGAGCATCATAGATTATCATAGATCATAGATTATTCTAAGTTATCATAGGTTGTCATTGATTACCATTGATTATCCTAGACTGTCATAGATTATCATAGATCATTGATTATCATAGTTCATCATGGATTATCATGTAAATATCATTGATTATCATATATTATGATTTATTATCATGCATTGTCATAGATTATCATTGGTTATCACAGATTATCATTGATTATCCTAGACTATCACTGATTATCATAGTTTGTCATTGATTATCATAAATTATGATATATTATCATGGATTGTCATAGATTATCATTGGTTATCATAGATTATCATTGATTATCCTAGACTATCATAGATTATCATAGATTATCATAGAGTATCATAGTTTATCATAGATTACCATAGATTATCATAGACTATCATAGATTATCATAGATTATCATAGATTATGATATATTATCATAGCTTACCAAACATTATCATAGATTATCATAGATTATGACATATTATCATAGATTATCGTAGATTATCATAGATTATCCTAGGCTATCATAGATTATCATAGATTATCCTAGACTATCATAGATTATCATAGATTATCAAAGATTATCATAGATTATCATAGGTTGTCATAGATTATCATAGACTACCATACCATACATTATCATAGATTTTCATAGATTATGATATATTATCAAAGATTATCATAGATTATCAAAGATTATCATAGATTGTCAAAGATTATCATAGATTTTCATAGATTATCATTGATTATCCCAGACTATCATTGATTATCATAGATTATCATTGATTATCATAGATTATCATTGATTATCCTAGACTATCATAGGTTATCATAGATTATCATAGATTATCATAGATTATCATAGATTATCACAGATTATCATAGATTATCCTAGGCTATCATAGATTATCATAGATTATCATAGATTATCATTGATTATCCTAGACTTTCATAGGTTATCATAGATTATCATTAGTGACGTGCGTCGGTAGCTTTAGGGCGGGCGCAAAAACGGCGCCAGGAGGCAACTTACCCCCTGCCTCCTGGCGGTCATTTTGCGGTTGCGGGAAACTCATTTTCTCCAACTAAGGGGTTTTTATGGGGTTGCGGGAAACTTATTTTTTCGTATTCAGGGGTCTTTTTGGGGTTTTGGCCAGGTGTGATTGTCAGCCAGGAAGTGGCACAAAGGATGGGCGGTGAGGCAATCCATGAGTTGTGAAACCTTGTTTTTGCTGTAAAAAAATGTTGAAACTAATAAATGAAATCGACTGACATGGAAGAATTTCCGGAAAAACAGTGCATTATTGAGATTTTTTCGTGCCGTGTCAATGATATCAAATTTCCACACGCTGTGGGGCTGATTTTTTAAGAATAGAAAGCACCTCTTGACGTTAAATTAAGATATTTGGAAATTTATTAATGGAAGAATTTCCGAAACCATCAATGATGTTCTTTCGTGCCGTGTCAATGATATCAAATTTCCACACGCTGCGGGGCTGATTTTTTTCAAGAATAGAAAGCACCTCTTGACGTTAAATTAAGATATTTGGAAATTTATTAATGGAAGAATTTCCGAAACCATCAATGATGTTCTTTCGTGCCGCGTCAATGATATGCAGTTTCCACACGTTCCTGGGCAGATTTTTTTTCAAGCATCTCTTGACGTTAAATCAAGATATTTGGATTTTTTTATGGAAGAATTTCCGAAACCATCAATGAATTATTGATGTTTTTTCGTGCCGTGTCAATGATATGTAATTTCCACACGTTCCTGGGCAGATTTTTTCAAGCATCTCTTGACATTAAATTTTAACATATTTGGAAATTATGTTCATGTCCCACCGTTTTTTTACCCAGGTCAATGCGGGGACGGATTTTTGGCACCATGCCCTCGGGAAGCACTGTCGCTGACCAGCTTGCACGTTCTGCAGGTGCGCATGGGGCACTCCGCAATTTGGCCCATGGCCACCCACTCACAAAGAATCTAGGCCGGGCGTGAAAGTTAATATAATTATAGCATATTATAGCATATTATAGCCGATCCGGCGCTGTAGTCCGGCTGCTGAGACTCGCCAAGCCAGCTGCCTTGAAGAGGGCGCCTAGCACCCTCAAGGGTCCTGGTGGGTTGGTCACAACCAAAAGAAGACCTGGATCGCCAGAACTTTGGCGTCCGGGCGTCGTCAAGCAAGCTGGTTTGAAGATTTTCTGGACCCTTTTCTGCCAAGATTCTGGCTAGGAAGTTTTCTTCGGCTTTTGATTTTTTCCAAACAAATTGGGAAAAAAAAACGAAAAAACAAGAAAATTCGGGCAACATTTGGCGTCTACAATTCTCAAGTAAGCTGCCCTGAAGAGGCTCCTGGCGGAGCTTCCTCTGCGAGAAGAGGCTCCTGGCAGAGCTTCTGCGCCAGGCCGCCGCCTCCTGGCGCACTTTTGTCCCAAGTATTCTCTATCTATATCTTTTGTATCTAGTTGAGCAGCGGTGAGGTCCCGGCACCGCAAAGAGTCAAGGAAAATTACATAGCCAGAAAGTGAGCCGGGAGCATGGCAGAAAAGGGTTAGGGCAGCTTGATTGATGATTTCAACACTTGAATTTATTTTTTGATGGCAAACCATATTTTGTTTCTGGCGCCTTGTTATGCTAGGCACGACTTCCTAGCTAGAAGGCTGCGCTGAGAAAAAGGTGCTAGGGCCCTCTTCAAGGCAGCTGGCTTGGCGAGTCTCAGCAGCCGGACTACAGCGCCGGATCGGCTATAATATGCTATACTTACATTAACTTTCACGCCCGGCCTAGATTCTTTGTGAGTGAGTCGCCATGGGCCAAATTGCGGAGTGCCCCATGTGCACCTGCAGAACGTGCAAGCTGGTCAGCGACAGTGCTTCCCGAGGGCATGGTGCCAAAAATCCGTCCCCGCATTGACCTGGGTAAAAAAAACGGTGGGACATGAACATAATTTCCAAATATGTTAAAATTTAATGTCAAGAGATGCTTGAAAAAAACCTGCCCAGGAACGTGTGGAAATTACATATCATTGACACGGCATGAAAAAACATCAATAATTCATTGATGGTTTCGGATTTTTTCCACAAAAAATCCAAATATCTTGATTTAACGTCAAGAGATGCTTGAAAAAAAAATCGGCCCAGGAACGTGTGGAAACTGCATATCATTGACGCGGCACGAAAGAACATCATTGATGGTTTCGGAAATTCTTCCATTAATAAATTTCCAAATATCTTAATTTAACGTCAAGAGGTGCTTTCTATTCTTGAAAAAAATCAGCCCCGCAGCGTGTGGAAATTTGATATCATTGACACGGCACGAAAGAACATCATTGATGGTTTCGGAAATTCTTCCATTAATAAATTTCCAAATATCTTAATTTAACGTCAAGAGGTGCTTTCTATTCTTAAAAAATCAGCCCCACAGCGTGTGGAAATTTGATATCATTGACACGGCACGAAAAAATCTCAATAATGCACTGTTTTTTCCGGAAATTCTTCCATGTCAGTCGATTTCATTTATTAGTTTCAACATTTTTTTACAGCAAAAACAAGGTTTCACAACTCATGGATTGCCTCACCGCCCATCCTTTGTGCCACTTCCTGGCTGACAATCACACCTGGCCAAAACCCCAAAAAGACCCCTGAATACGAAAAAATAAGTTTCCCGCAACCCCATAAAAACCCCTGAGTTGGAGAAAATGAGTTTCCCGCAACCGCAAAATGACCGCCAGGAGGCAGGGGGTAAGTTGCCTCCTGGCGCCGTTTTTGCGCCCGCCCTATAGCTACCGACGCACATCACTAGATTATCATTGATTATCAAAGATTATCATAGATTATCATTGGTTATCATTGATTATCATAGATTATCATAGATTATCATTCATTATCAAAGATTATCATTGATTGTCATAGATTATCACTGATTATCATAGATTATCATTGATTATCCGAGACTATCATAGATTATCATAGATATCAAAGATCATAGATTGTCATAAATTATCATATATTATCCTAGGCCATCATTGATTATCATAGATTATCATAGATTATCATTGATTATCCGAGACTATCATAGATTATCATAGATATCATAGATCATAGATTATCATAGATTATCATATATTATCCTAGGCTATCATTGATTATCATAGATTATCATAGATTATCATTGATTATCATAGATTATCATAGATTTTCTTAGATTATCATTGATTATCCTAGACTATCATAGATTATCATAGATTATGATATATTACCATAGCTTACCAAACATTTTTAAAGATTATCATAGATTATGACATATTATCATAGATTATCATAGATTATCATAGGTTATCATAGATTATCATAGACTATCATATATATTTCTAGACTAGCATAGATTATCATAGATTATCCTAGATTATCATAGATTACCATAGATTATCATATAGTATTTTTGATTATCATAGATTACCATAGACTATTATAGATTTTTTAGACTATCATAGATTATCATTGATTATCCCAGACTATCATAGATTATCATAGATTATCATAGACTATCATAGATTATCATAGTTTATCATATATTTTTTTGATTATCATAGACTATCATAGGTCATCATAGGTTATCATAGATTATCATAGATTATCCTTGACTATCATAGATTATCATAGATTATCATAGATTATCATTAAATATCATAGATTATCATAGATTGTCATAGATTATCCTAGATTATCATAGATTATCATAGACTATCATAGATTTTTCTAGACTAGCATAGATTATCATAGATTATCCTAGATTATCATAGATTATCATAGGTTGTCATAGATTATCATAGACTACCATACCATACATTATCATAGATTTTCATAGATTATGATATATTATCATAGATTATCATATATTATCATTGATTATCATAGATTATCATTGATTATCCTAGACTATCATAGATTATCATAGGTTATCATAGACTATCATAGATTATCATAGATTATCATTAATTATTTTTTGATTATCATAGATTACCATAGATTATCATAGGTTATCCTAGATTATCATAGATTATCATAGATTGTCATAGCTTATCATAGGTTATCATGGGTTATCACAGATTATCATAGATATTTTTGATTATCATAGATTATCATAGGTTATCATAGGTTATCATTGACTATCATAGATTATCCTAGACTATCATAGATTATCATAGACTATCATAGATTACCATAGATTTTCAAAGATTATCCTAGACTACCATAGATTATCCTAGACTATCGTAGATTATCATAGATTATCATTGATTATCATTGATTATCCTAGATTATCATAGATTATCATTGATTATCCTAGATTATCATAGATTATCATAGGTTATCATTGATTATCCTAGATTATCACAGATTATCAAAGATTATCATAGATTATCATTGATTATCATTGATTATCATAGATTATCAAAGGTTATCATGGATTATCCTGGATTATCATAGATTATCCTAGACTATCATAGATTATCATTGACTATCATAGAAAAATCTTGAACTATTATAGATTACCATTGACTATCATAGATTATCGTTGACTATCATAGATTAGCATAGATTATCACAGGTTATCATTGATTATCATTGATTATCATAGATTATCATAGATTTTCATTGATTATCCTAGGTTACCATAGATTATCATAGATTATCCTAGGTTATCATAGGTTATCATAGATTATCATTGATTATCCTAGACTATCATAGATTATCATTGATTATCCTAGACTATCATAGATTATCATTGATTATCCTAGATCATCATAGATTATCAAAGGTTATCATTGATTATCCTAGATTATCATAGATTAGCATAGATTATCATTGATTATCCTAGATTATCATAGATTATCATAGATTTTCCTAGATTATCATAGATTATCATTGATTATCCTAGACTATCATAGGTTATCATTGACTATCATAGATTATCCTAGACTATCATAGATTATCATTGACTATCCTAGACTATCATAGATTATCATTGACTATCATAGATTATCATTGATTATCATTGATCATCATAGATTATCATAGATTAGCATAGATTATCATAGATTATCATAGATTATCATTGATTATCCTAGATTATCATAGATTATCATAGGTTATCATTGTTTATCCTAGACTACCATAGATTATCATAGATTATCATAGATTTTCCTAGATTATCATAGATTATCATTGATTATCCTAGATTACGATAGATTATCATAGATTATCATAGATTGTCAAAGATTATCATAGATTATCATTGATTATCCTAGACTATCATAGATTATCACTGACTATCATAGATTATCCTAGACTATCATAGATTATCGTTGACTATCATAGATTATCATTGATTATCATTGATCATCATAGATTATCATAGATTATCATAGATTATCATACATTATCATTGATTATCCTAGATTATCATAGATTATCCTAGATTATCATAGATTATCGTTGACTATCATAGATTATCGTTGACTATCATAGATTATCGTTGACTATCATAGATTATCCTTGATTATCATAGATTATCATAGATTATCCTTGACTATCATAGATTATCGTTGACTATCATAGATTTTCGAAATTTCACAACCACCACAACCACCTGGCGACCCTGGAGACCTAGGACTGGATCCTACACTGGAGCCAAGGTCCAGCGGCTCCACCCGTAGATAATAAGAGGAATGATCCCCAAATGGCCGAAGATTTCAGGTTAGTGAAATATGATAATTTACCCAGATAATCCCAGAGATATATATATATATATATCAAACTTGTAAAGCCATAGGGAAATCCTCAATATCTGGAGAAAAAAAACGTGAACCAAAATTTATGCACTTTGAACGTGTTGTTTATGAAGTGCAACTGTGCAAGACATGCTTGCAATTTTGCAGTTGTACGTGTTGTCATTCCGGATGTCGCTGCTATGTGGACATGTTGCATTGGCATCACAGATTCACGGCTCTCTGACCCGCTATCCACGGGAATCGAAAAATGTTTCGATACTCTTCGATTCAGAATTGTATGGGAGAAATTTCAGGACACTATATATGTCACTACAGGTAATAAGGACAACTAGTGGACTCGACTCTAGATGTTCCCTTCAATCATGACCAATCCAGCTACCGACTCGGTCGGTTCGATACGATACGCTGTCAGGGAGAGACCTATGAACTGCGATTGCTGGACTCCGAGCCTGCCAACAGCAGCACCTGGAATTGCACTCGCACTGGAAGTGATGGGGCCAGCAAGTGCCTTGAGCAGTGCCAGGGTGGGGCAGGGTGCGCAGGGTACTTGTGCAGGTGCAGTGAACTAAGTGGAAATGTAATCAGGTGACCGTAGCTATGGGGGTTAATTTATATCTGAACTTGGGTAATTAGGTAATTACCATGGTATATAATATATAGATATATACATTATATATATATATATCGTCT